AATCAAGGAAGGGAATACTTGACCCTGTCCTATGCTAGCCAGGGTCTGTCTAGTCTTGATCCCAACATGTGTTCCAGACTTTGGGACAGTTAGGATGAATGGTTCCTGCCAGATCCAGGGCTGAAAAGAAACACTTCTCTGGTGTCTCCAGTCTGGCGACTGGGCTCCATTCAAAGGGGAAGTAGGTTTGTGGGCAGGTCGCTGGATGACTGACTCGTCCTGACAAGAGAAGTCAGGACTAAAGAACCAAAAAACAGGCTCTCAGTCCTAAGGCCAGATGCTCTGTGCTCTCATTATTCACAACCAAGTGCAGATGCTGGGTCAATTCAGAGACAGATTGGGTTAGCCCCACCTTACCTGACCCCTGTATTACCTGGAACTGAGAACACATACAGATTCCAGCAGAAACCTGTTGGTTCCTCTTGCACTTAGAGCTGGTCTGAGCAGCAAGCCAAGCAGCACACAGATTGCCCTTTCCACTTACTCAGCCAAAATAAAAACTGGTCACTTAGTTGATGAGGTCTCCCACAGCCTCATCAGCCCTGGTGTTCCCCCATTCAAATGGGACAGAGAAAACTATGTGGTGGGTACCTCAACTGGAAGCTTTGCTTGAGAGGGAACTTGAGTTCAAGACAGAGGCCTGAGCTCTGTAATTCGCTGCTTGCTCAGGCACTGAAGCTTTTCTTAGATCAGGGGCTCCCCAAGTACATAGAGATGGCCCCCATGATCTGGGCAGAATGCCTGGGAGAGACCTGTGTTCTCAGGGACAGAAAGGGAAGCAAGCTGGGTTGAGAGCCCCTGAAGAGGGATCCATGTCTGGAGGAGAACCAAGGCCTGTGAGCTACCTGACCCGGGCAGGCTGCTGGCTTTGGCCTAAAGAGTTGGCTGTGTGGACACATGCATTTAGATGGTTTGGTTTCTCCAGCATACAAGGGGGACCCATAAAACCCTAGAATTTATAAACAATTGTGTATTCTTACATGTTTAAACCAGTCAATTTCAAAGTACTCTCTGTTTGATGCAGTACACCTATCATGACACTTTTTCCACCACTCAAAACAGTTTCTGAACTCGTCAATTTTGATGCCTTTTAGTGCTTCTGCCATTTTTGGTTTCATTTCTTCCACATTGGCAAATGTTTCCCTTTGAAGATTTTTTTTTTTTAATCCAAAAAAACAAGTCACTCAGGTGAGATCGAGCGAATAGGAAGGGTAGGGCATGGGGGTCATAGCATTTTTGGTTAAAAACTGCTGAGCACTCAGTGCAGTGTAGGCAGGTGTGCTTGTAAGTGACTCATCATGAAATGGGCAAACTCGCTGAAAGAATCTCCAAAGGAAAAAACAATTCACTGAAGCTGAACGCCTCTTATAACAATGCTAGTTGGTACACTGATGCCGCTGGATTTCTAGAACACTTATCTAGCCAGGGAAGCATGTACTACAAGGGGCCTGCCCTCCAAAAGATAATCCTGGGGGTGTTTTTCAGGTCCCTCCTCCTACATCTGAGCCTTGCAAATGAATGTGATACATGAAATTTTAAACAATCTGAGAAAAGTACGTTCTTTGCAAAAGATGAGTCAGACTAATAAGCCCCCAGGTAAACTCTGAGTAAGGAAAAGGGGGCGGGGCTTTAGGAAAAGCCCAAATTCCAGGTTTGATTTTGTTTGATTTCCTCTTCTGCAAGGTGCCATTGTCCACTTGGGCTGTGATGTTTGAACTAACAAAGCTGAGAATTTTGGTCCAAGGAGAGACTAGGAAGACAAGAGGCAACAGGGCCCAAGACAGGGACAGCATAAGCTAAGAGTTTAAAGAGGGGATGTGCAGAGAGCATCCAACCAGAAAGGCCAACATCCGCCCTCCATGGAAGGCAGCCGGGGACAGATGTCCCAGAGCCAGAAGAGAAGGTGGGAATACAGAAACTCACTGGGCTACTGACCAAGATACAAGCCACATAGCTTGAGGAGCACACTGGCACAGCCTCCAAAGGCCAGCTGGGGTTGATACCATTAGTACATGTGCCAGCCCACTAGGTGCCATCCAACATTGCCCAGCTCCCTCCTTTTGCTACTGACAGCAGGGTCCTAGAGTTAAGGTGCTTTGGTCCACCTGAATAGCCACCTGTTACTCAGTCAAGTGAAAGGAGCTCCTAGTTGGTACAATCACTACCAGGCCCTAAAGTGCTTGACAAGCGATCCAACTAGGGCATTCTTTTTCAGAAACCCAAATCTTCAAAAATGCCACTCCTCCCCTCCCCAAATCAAAAAGCTTCTTTACGGTCAAAAATGAAAACAAGGAATTAAAATATACAAAGTGTGTGTATCATAAATTCAGATTTCCTTTATCAGAATGGTGATCTGGTTTTACCTATGAGAACTGGATCTACAAACCTATGTAAAAAACATAATATTCAACAGGTACAAGACAGAGGCAACAAGGAGCACTAAGATGATTTTACTATCTCTGACGAGTCCAAGTGCATACAACAAAGAAGGATAAGACTAATCACCTTATAAAATCAGCTTTCTTCTGGAAAGACTAACCCTACCCATCCCTCAAGGTGGCCCACAGGTGCCTCCTACTGAAGGTGACGACAATTTAACGTTTTGCTAGTGTGCAAAACCACAGTAAGCTGTCCTGTGACCCACCTGTGAGCTTGGCTGCTGCTATCCCCCATCCCCCGCTGCCACTGGGCGCGTGTGTGTGGGTGCGCGTGCGCAAGCGCGTTTGCGCGCCTGCGTGCATGCACGTGTGCACACACGTGACTGGCTGTATTCAAGGTTTTGCCCCCAATGCCCTGGGTATCTGTTACAGTGTCCTTTTAAGCACTTGCTTAATGACTGCCTCCCTCAGCATGGCCTTTGATCTTCTTTCAAGCATAAGGTCCAGGGCACAGTATTCAGCCCCATCCGAGAGCAGAGGAAGCAGGGTTTCAGTCTGCCGGGCTCCTTACCTGGGCAGTCTTGCCATTTGTGGTGTAGCCCTGGCTGTCGGTCCGGGCCAATGTCTGTGAGAAAACACGCCAGAGCAGGCAGCACTGACTTTTCCACCTAAGAGATGAGCTGATGGCCAAGGATGGGTTGCTCTCTTGTCCCACATGAACTTGTCCACCAAGTAACTTATTCTGTTTTGTTGTTTGGGTTGTCAATTAAATGTGAATACAAATAACCAGGAAAATCCTCTCCACAGACCAACCATTCAACCAGTGCATGTAGGGCTCTGGGGGTAAGGCCAGTGAGGTCTGGAGGTGAGGCACGGTGTGGTTTCTCAGACACCTGGAGACAGCTTCATGTGGGGCCACCCCGGCTGCCCAGTACACTGGCATTCCAAGCTACTTCCTCAACACCCATGTGCCACCAAGTTCCTCAAGTGCACATGTCAGTGTATATTTTACAAACAAAGTAACAGATGAATATTTGTACTCTATATGTGTATATATAAATTAATCTGCATGTACAGAAACACTAAAGGAAAAATTCCAGGTGTCTGTTCTCTGAAGTAACACAGTCACTTGCCATAATTGGCAATTCCTCAAAAGTTTTTTGAACCAAAAAGCTGCAGTCCCAAACTGGAAAGGTTAAAAAAGTTGGCTGCAAAACTTGCCAAATATTCACAAGTCCCCTGTTTGAGACAAATAAGAGGTGGTCCCTATTGGGACAGGGAGAGCAGGAGAAAAACATGGCTCAAGGGCATTTGGTTTCCAAAGAAAGCCCTCTCCCAGAAGGCAGAAGGTGCTACCACCATGCCCATCCTCGAAGCCACACCAGCAAGGTGCCCTGCTGAGTCCAGTTCCCTGGGTGGGGTGGAGGAGGACAATGCCTAAAACACCACCAGTGTTTCTTGTCCAAAGCCCTTGCCCTGTCTCTGGAGTCTCCTGTTGCTGCCACCCAGCCCAGCAATATGAGGAGTGTACCTATGATCCCTGGTACCTGTGGCTTGGTGCTCTGGGAAGCAGGTGGTTTCTAAGAGGTCTCCAGCTTGCTCCTCTTTACCTGCTGTTCTTAGAGCAGCCAGTCTTAGGGAAACTTGGATTTACAACAATGTAAGCAAGTTTTCTAATGTTTCAAAAGCACCTTTTCCTGTGATTTTTCTCAGTTCAAAAAAGGATATGAGGGTTAGGCTAAAGTAGATAGAGTTCTTGTTTCCAAGTTTGGGGATATAACTGTAGAACTTTAAAAACATCCTCACAAGGACCTGTCCAGTGATGCCCAGCACTCCTGGGCGTGTATCCAGCATGCTGGCCAGACCCTGGGCATGGGGGCTGGAAGCATTCTGGGTATTCTGCCAAGAACCCCCGCATGCAACTCTGTACTCAAGACCATCCCAGTTCTGATAATTCTGAAAAGTTCCCAAATCCCTTAAGCTTTCCCTCTGTTTTGGGCTAGTGTGCTCTTCCTTCCCGAACCATAGAAATCTCTGGAGTAAGTGTGGGAAGGGCTTTGAAAACCACAGTGGTCAAAGCTGCAGGCTCTGGCTATACACTTCCACTTACGTCCCCACCCTCATTTCTTTTTTCCATTTTCCTCTCATTCTAAATGTGCCTAGATTTTTTTTTTAAGGTAGACATCTAAGTCAATACATTAGGCTTAACAACAAATGGTTCTTTAGTTGAACTGATAAATGAAAAATTATGGTCCATGATTCAAACTCCTATGAAAAAAACAGAAACATGTAACAACTGAAGAGCCTGGTAAGCATCCAATACTGATCACATAGCCAGTCTGTTATCTGAACTGAGGGTTGCAGTGAGTTCTGTGCTGATTAGCCAGTAAGGGAAGGCAAGCCTGGCATGAAACCTGGCTGGTCACTGCTTAATGAAGCAGGGGTACTACTTCCTTGAGGAAGTCCCCCGCCTGACTGTGAGAAAAGTCAAATGTGAAATGGATCAAAGTCACAGGGAAAAAAATCCCTGTGACTCAGCGATACCCAGAGAACAGACACAGGGCATTTTCAGAGATGATGTAAAGGACAGTATACTGCTTGGCTAGCCAAAGTTTCTGTGTATGAAAATGTTTATAATCTGATGTTTTATTTAACGTATATAGGCGGATGTATATGTTAAAAACTTGACTTGGTATCTATGAATATGAAATCGGAACTGTTATATCCACTGGAAGGCAAGGGTCCTACGTTGTGAGAGGAAGAACCGACAAGAATCCTGTTCTTGCTGCTTGCTTGGTGGTGGGCAGGCCAAGGGCGGTGGTGGTGTGCTCTGGGCTGTCTGCGAGGCCTCAGGAAGCTCTCTGGGGTACCCAGCAGCCAGGCATGGGAACGGCATGTGGCAGCACAGAGTTGGGTTTGGCCCTTCCACGTGGCAGGCGGCATCCCAGACTGGCCAGTCCTTCACAGTAATCGGATCAAATTCAGTCTGTTTCTGAGGAGAAAACACATGCCTGTCACTCCACAGCAGCTGCCACTTGCATTAGCCCCCAGTGCAGCCTGGTCCTCGTGACATCAGGGTGGCATTGCTGGCTTTGAGGACCTCTTAATTCTATGAGCGATGCCTTCCTGCCAGCCACTCCCCCACTCTCCAGCCTGAGGGAATGTGGGTTTAGGACAGGATGCTGGCTCAACCTGGCAAGGCTGTCAGACTCTCTGAGGGACCCTCCCACGCCCCAGGCCTAGCAGCTGCAGCAGCAGCTTGGCCTCTCCAGGCCCACTAACCCTTGCCTGAGCCTACACCCCAAGCCGCTTTCACCACCTCCAGAATCCTTTCCTAAAACACCTCATCTTGCCCTCTCCCTCCTGGCTCTCCAGAACACACTGTTCTAATACAACTGCAGATGGGTCTAGTTCTGTTATGTATTCTACTGATGTGTTCATTATAAATTGCAGCCTTAATGTGAAAGTCAGTGAGGCTGATCAGAGACGTCCATCATTCATGATGCACACAGGTGGCATGTTGCTGCTGGCTGAGAAAGCCGTGAGCAACCAGGTGAATGTAGTCAGACAAGCTCTTCTGTACCCATGGTTATCTGTCTCAGATAGAAAATGATGATGCCACAATGGCATGGCCACCCCCTGCCAGTACTGCTCTTTCCCACCAGGGGCACCAACACTTCATTGTGTGTTGGACTTAGTAGCGGAGGGGAGCCACTGCTTATGATTCAAACCAATTCATCACATCTCCACACTGGCCCTTTTTTTTTTTTTGAGTCGGAGTCTCACTCTGTCACCCAGACTGTAGTGCAGTGGCCGCTCCCGCCCACTGCAGCCTCGACTGCTGGGCTCTGGCGATCCTTCCCACTCAGCCTTCCAAGTAGCCGGAATTACAGGCGCATACTACGACGCCCGGCTGATTTTTGATTAACTGTAGAGATGAGGTCTCGCCAAGTTGCCCAGGTGGGTCTTGAACCCACGGGCTCAGGCAATCCACTCACCTCAGCCTCCCAAGGCGCGGGATTACAGGCTGAGTCACCGAGCCTGGCCACACTGGCCTTTAAACAAAACCACGGTAAAATACACATAATGTATAATTTACCATTTTAAGCATACAGTGCAGTGGCATTAGATATATTCATGGTGTTATGAAACCATCAACCCATTTACAGATGTTTTTATCATCGTAAACAAATTCTATATCCATTAAGAAGTAACTCCCCATTCCCCCACCCACCCCAGTAACCTCTCTTCTACCTTCTATCTCTATGAATTTGCCTATTCTAGGTACCATACATAAGTTGAATCTCACAATGTGTGTCTTTTTGTGTCTGCCTCATTGCATGTAGCATGTTTTCCAGGTCCATGTTGCAGAATATATCAGAACTTCTTTCCTTTTTATGGCTGAATAATATCCCATTTTGTTTATCTGTTCATCTGCTGATAAGAACTTAGCTTATTTCTAGCTTTTGATTACTTTAAATAATGCCACTATGAACACTGGTGTACAAGTAGTTTTTTTAGTTCCTATCTTCAGTCTTTTGGGTATATACCTAGGAGCAAAATTCTGGATTCTATGGTAATCCTATATTCAACTTCTTGAAGAACCATCAAATTGTTTTCCAAGGTGGCTGTACCATTTTATGTTCTCACCAGTAATGCACAAGGGATTCGATTTCTCCACATCTTCCCAATGTATTATTGCCTCCCCCACTACACAGTGTGCATGCATGTAATAGCCATTGTAAATGTGAAGTGATAGCTCCCTGTGGTTTTCATTTGCATTTCCCTAATAACGACTGACACTGATCATCTTTTCACATATTTATTGTCCATTTATATATTTTATTTGTGGGAATGTTCAGTTAAATCATTTGCCCATTTTCAAATTGGTTTTGTTGTTGAGTTGAAGGAGTTCTGTATATATTCTGCATATAAATCCCTTATCAAATGTATGTTTTTCAGGTATTTTCCCTTATTCTGTGAGTTGTCTTTTCACTCTCTTGATCGTGTCCTTTGATGTATAAAAGGACATCAAAGGGATTGCTGGATTGTTTTTAGAAATCTCCATACTGTTTTCCACAATGGTTGTACTCATTTGCATTCCCACCAATAGTGTATGATAGTTTCCTTTTCTCCACCTCTTCACCAGCATCTTATTTTTTGTCTTTTTAATAGTAGCCATTCTAACTGGGGTAAAAGGATATCTCATTGTGGTTTGATTCGCATTTCCCTGATGATTAGTGATGTTGGTTATTAGTTTTATATACTGGTTGGCTCTTTGTATATCTTCTTTTGTACATTGTCTATTAATACCCTTTGCCCACTTTCTAATGGGAATTTTATAATTATTGAGTTTTTTATTTCCTTAAATATTCTAAGTATCATTCACTTGTCAAATGAATAGTTTGCAAAATATTTTTTCCCATCCAACAGATTGTCTCCTCACTCTGTTGACAGTTTCCTTTGATATGCAGAAGATTTTAGTTTTTAATATAGTCCCATTTGTCTATTTTTGTTTTTGTCTGTGCTTTTGAGGTTCTAGCCATAAAATATTTGCTTTGACCAATGTCCTAAAGTGTCTGCCCAATGTTTTCTTTGCATAGTTTTACAGTTTGGGGTCTTAAATTTAAGTCTTTATCTTGAGTTGATTTTTATACATGAAGATAGATAGGGGTCCCGTTTCATTCTTCTGCATGTGGATATCCAATTTTTCCAGTACCATTTATTGAAGAGAGTGTCCTTTTCCCCAGCATACATTCTGAGCACCTTTGTTGAAAATAAGTTGGCTGTAAATATGTGGCTTTCTTTCTGGGTTCTCTATTAGTTCCATTAGTCTGTCTATTTTTATACTGATACCATGCTGTTTTGGTTATTATAGCCTTGTAATATATTTTGAAATCAGGTTAGTGTGATGCCTCCAGCTTTGTTCTTTTTGCTTAGTATTGCTTTGGCTATTCTAGCTCTTCTTTGGTTCCATATGAACTTTTTTCTATTTTCGTAAAAAAATTATATTGATATTTTGATAGGGATCGCATTGACTCTAAATTGCTTTGGGCAGTATGGCCATTTTAACCATCTTAATTCTTCTGATCCATGAGCATGGGATGTCTTTCCATTTCTTTGTGTCCTCTTTAATTTCTTTCATCAGTATTTTAGGTGCTGATGGGAAGAATGCATATTCTGCAACTGTTGAATAAAATGTTCTCTCTCTCTCTCTCTCTCTCTCTCTCTATATATATATATATAGATAGATAGATAGATAGATAGATAGAGATAAATAGATAGATAGATAGATAGATTTTTTTTTTTTTTTTTTTAGTTGGAGTCTCATTCTGTTGCCCAGGCTGGAATGCAGTGACATGCTCATGGCCACCGCAGCCTTAACCTGCTGGCTTCAGGCAATCCTTCTGCCTCAGCCTTCCAAGTATCTGGAACTACAGGCATTCACCACCATGCCCAGCTAATTTTTTGATTTATTGTAGAGATGAGGTCTCGCCAAATTGCCCGGGCTGGTCTCAAACCCATGAGCTCAGACAGTCCTCTCACCTTGGCCTCCCAAAGTGCTGGCATTATGGGCGTGAGCCACTGCACCTGGCTATAAATGTTTTTAAAATCTATTTGGTCTAAAGTCCAGTGGAAATCCAATATTTGTCGATTTTCTGTCTAGATGATGTCTAGTGCTGAAAGCGGGATGTTAAGGTCCCCCACTATTATTAGATCTAGTAATCTTTGCTTGATGAATCTCAGTTCTGCAGTGTTGGGTACATATATATATTTAGAACTGTTGTGTTCTCTTCCTGGATTGATTCCTTTATCAGTATATAATGACCTTTGTCTTTTATTTTTTACTGCTATTGACCTAAAGCTTGTTTTATCTGATACAAGTATAGCTATGTCTGCTTGTTTTTGGTTTCTGTTTACATCGAATATCTTTGTCCATCCCTTTATTTTCAGTCTACCTGTATCTGTACAGGTAAAGTACATTTCTTATAGGAAGCATATAGCTGGATTTTGTTTGTGGGGCGAGGTGGGGAGTAGAGACAGAGTCTTGCTCTGTCACCCAGGCTGGAGTGCAGTACTGCAGTCATGGCTCACTGTAACTTTGAACTCCTGGGCTCAAGTGATCCACCTCAGCATGCTGAAAAACTAAAACTACAAGCATGTGTCACCATGTCTGGCAATTTTTTTTTTTAAGAGACAGGATCTTGCTACGTTGCTCAGGCTGGTCTCAAACTGCTAGCTTCAAGTGATCTCACTTTGGTCCCTGATCATGCTTTTAATCCATTCAGCTAGTTTACATCTTTCAAGTTGAACATTTATTTATATTTGAGGTTATTATTGATATGAGGTTTTTGAACCTGTTATATTCTTGTCTACTGTTTTATACACACACACACACACACACACACACACACACACACACACACACACCATATATATTAAATATAAAGATATATATATATAAAAGTATATACATATATATTTTTTCTTTGTTCCTTTTTTTTCTCTTATTGTCATTGTGGTTTGGTGATTTTTCTTTAGTGGTACCATGAGTTCTTTCTCTTCCTCATCTGTGTGTCTGGTTTACCAGTGAGGTTTATACTTTGGTATGTTTTCATGATAGTAAATGCCATCCTTTCACTTCCAGATTTAGGACTCCCTCGAGCATTTCTTGTTGGGGTGGTCTAGTGGCGATGAATTCCTTCTTGTCTGGGAAATACTTTATTTCTCCTTCATTTATGAAGGATAATTTTGCTAGGTATAGTATCCTTGGCTGGCTTTTTTTTTCCTTGAATATGTCTTTGCACTTTGAATATATCATCCCATTCCCTCCTGGCCTGTAACATTTCTGCTGAAAATCTGCTGTTAATCTGATGGGACATCCTCTTACAGACACTTTTCTCTTACTGCTTTTAGGACTTTCTTTTTGTCTTTTAGACAGTTTAATTACAATGTACTGTAGAGAAGAGATTTTTGTATTGCACCCTCTTG